TGAAGCTTCTTGTTTATGTTGAATAACCAGTATGAATGAGTAAAATGTGTCCTTTTTATGTGTGAATCTGCATACTGACACGGTCTTACTGGATTCTTCTGATTAACTCCAAATCAGGTGGTAATGTCACAAAACCAATAACTAATCATTATTGGAGTAGTAGCAGTTTTACTGGGAGAACATTTTAGCTCATGAATGACACAAGGCAGACCGCTGAAGTCATGTTCAAAGCACATTTACATTAATATTCACATCCATATGTCATGATATTAACTAACACAGCCACACTAGATGGAAAGCTGGTGAACTAACACGCTGTAATATGTAGAGAGCTATGAGTCCATCACTCTCAAATGACTCATATTTCCTCCCTGCTTTATTAACTTAATTTCTGACAAACGGCTGTTAGTTATTCCTGATTTTTAACGATGAGTCAGGGGCCAATGCTCCCAACTGGAAACAGCATGGACTAAATTCATGCTGTTAAATCTAATCATTTAGAAAGAGTATCATAAGTTACTGATAGTTTACCATGATATAATTTGTTCTCAAGAAGCTTCAGGATGTACTATATTGTCTGTTATAGTATTTTGGAACTGATGTTTAATTGGTTTTGGAGTGAAAAATGAATAGACCAGCAAGTTTTTGGCAGTGGACTTAACTGCCTGAATTATGAAGCAATTCCAGTAAATAGTGTGCTGTGCCTGCCTATTTGAAAAGTTTGATATCTCACTAGATATAATCAGGAATACAGAAATACACTGATTATGGGTAGTTTGTGTAACGGGCCAGTAAAATAATACAGATTGCACCATTAATTGACCATGAATTTAATGATTGCCAAAAATTTTAAATGTTAATGAAAATAAGATTTTAAAGACAAAGAAAACATGTGTATATATATATATATCTATCTCTCTCTCTCTCTCTCTCTCTCTCTCTCTCTCACACACACACACACATATATATAGACTATATATTATTAAATGGTAAGTTTTTGTTGATGGATTTGAATAACACATAGCTGTTAAGACACAAAAACCTTCAAGTAAAGAAACAAATGAAAATCAGTAACCCTTCAAGTTTCCACACTTTCCAATTATTCCCTTCCTGCTGGACTGAGTATGAAAACATTAAATTAATTAGTAAGATATTGTCGATCACAGCTTGAGAGGAAAACCTGACAATCCATGGCAGGACGGAGTGGGTTGAGGAGGAAGGTGACTTTGTGACAGCCCTGTGCTTGGGTGGCTCTTGGCCTGATGATCAGGGACAGGCTGACCTCCCACGCAGAATTTGTCATCTCTTTACAACACTTTTTTTCCCACTAAAGACTCTTATTCAACCTTCTAACAACCTTCCTTCCGCCGCCCGGACTTCTCTCTCCCCTCTCTCCCCTCTTCCCCCCCCACGCACACACACGCACACACACACGCACACAGTTAGCAGCCTCTAGACATAATCATTTATTGTTCAAATTTCCACATGGAGATCAAGGGGTTGTTAAATACAGCAGCTAATTTCCAACGCTTCCAAACTAAATCAAAGAAACACTTGGAATTAGACTAGTTGTAACATTAATGTTCTGTTAAAACTATATTAAAGTCCAATTTACTTTTCTCCTTTTATTGACGCTTAGTAGCAAGTGTGGAAACAGGACAAAATATACATAACAATATAGAGATCTGTGGTACTAGGAAGCCCAGTTTACTGATGAACATGCTACTTTCGGGGTTACACATGCTGTAAGATATGTACAATAGCTAAGAGAGGCATTCTCTGCACGCCTCTTCAGAAAATGTTCACTGAAGTGAAAATACCAAAATCATGCAGAAACAGCTTGTACACTGATAACATGCAGCTCTTCTCTCTAGGCTCTTCTTCTGAAATAGAAATTGCACATGCAGTGTCACATCAGACATCCATTATTATTGCCATGGCACACTCAAAGAAGTTTCAAACTGCATTCCTCTGCAGCCGTGCATTGATATTTTTCTGCTGTTCCTTAAACAGTTTCTCACCCCACAGTGTCTTGACAGATGTAAATACAGGAGAGTTAAACCAAATCAGATGTTTTTTACTTGTCATTTCTGTTAAGTTCCAATGTAATCCAGAGGAATTGCTGAATGAAAAAAAAGAGAAACACACAAAGAGAGAAGCACTGAAGACACTGAAATACATACTTCTATTCTTTCAGTTTTGGACTTCATATACATGTCCACTCCTGCCACTTCCCCAGCACAAACCCAGTCACACGTGGCTTTCTGAAATCATGCTGTCTCAAAGAAACACTGATGAAAAATGCAAAAACAAACTTGGGAAACAAATCTCCTCCTCTTCTGTTTATTTTTGTTGCAGTGCAATGAGTCATAAAATATATTTCTAAACTTCTGTCTCTTTTACACTCATGACTGATTTCCCTTTTGGACAGAAATGTTCAGCAATAAGAAACATATGAGAAGCAAATTAATTCTAGACTAAGATAAAAGCTTGGATTAATGGATTTACTTGGTGAGAGGGTAAATGTAAAGTTCCCTGACATGCATGAGGGAGAGGGTCAGTGACAATAAAAGAGAAGCGTGTGGTGACTCAGCCTTTCCCTGGTCAGAGAAATAAACAACTAAATACATCACTGGTGCCGACATGTTTTACCTACTTACAGGTACAAGACAAAGCCACAGAAAAACATTAACCCAGGAAAACAGTTCATATTTATTGAAAATGTGTTATTTCAATCAACTGCTCTGGATGTTTGATAATGTGTGGTTGTTGCGGGTGCATTAGCTGATGGCTTTTGAGTCATATCCCTGTTTATTGCTGTAGGCTACGCAAGCAAGTGCTGGGTACCAATGGCAACCATCTGACCATGCAGTCAGGGTATATCGATATCACAGTGAGATGTACGTGACCTGTTCTGTTATGCACTGAGTCAAACCTGGGGCCTCTGCAGTGTCATAAAATCCATTATAAACATGTCACAAATTCTCTTCGGCGAGCTGTGCCCTCTGGACAGGAAACTGGGCGCTGGTGGCAGAGGAAGTGTGATAGCAAACCAAACTCATTCAGAGCGTGGAGGGTGCAGGGGAGAAGGGAAGCAAAGGGATGCCAAGGAGGATGAAAGAGCATGGAGTCAAATTCATACCACATCTGGAAAGAATTGCACACAGCAGTTACAGAGGTACACTGGGTACTTGCACTCTGCCAAGCTCACTCGCATGCTGCCATGCCAAGCGTAGCCTTTGCACATTGAAAGTGTGTGACTTGAATGCCTTACAAGACTGCAAATAAGCTATGCAAACAGTGCCACCTGGTGGACACTAAGCCGTTGACGTAGCTGGTAATGACTGTGAGAGAACACTACCTTAACTCAACCAGCGAGTTAAAATACATCTGTGGGTCAGACCTTGTTAACGTCCCGGTCTGTTTGTTTTCATAAGCCAAAACAAGTAACCACAAAGTGCTTTAAAATAGTTCCATCCAACTACTCAGAAATTCACTTTGAGTTTAAGATTTTTGGTGAAACTCCGCCATTTGTTTATCTATTTTACCCCCCCCACACACACACACTTTAATCAGTAGCTATACGTTGTGCTCTGTAACTTACGTAATTGTTCATTATTAAAAAAGAACACTGCGGCATGTTGATAAGAAGGTAAGACTGAGTCACATTTGACTACATCTGCATAAGACTATGCAATGAATAACATATGTACATACATGTACACATCTTTGAATCTAAAAAGAAGCAACTATAGAGGTTATTCTTGAAGACAGGCTTGCAAAACAAGTATTCTTGGACTTCCTTTGTAGCATGGATCTTCAAATCAATCAAGATTATTATCTTGTTTTGGTGGTCAGTTGTTTGTCATAGGTTTATTTTTTCTTGACGGGAATAATGGTAATTTTGTTACAAATGGTGGAGATCATTGACATAAGCAATAAAAATGAGAGCAAGAATAGGAATTATGACATATGGTTCAAACATGTACACAAAATCTACTGCCAAAAAGAAATAACACAAACATCTAACAATTTAAATTTAATTTCACAAATTCCAGACACACTAACAAGAGTATATCATTAGTTTGATTGTGAAAACATTGGGAAGCATCAAAGTATCCTGATCTCTGCTATTGTTCTCTAATATTGTTAAAAAGGTATTTTTATTAAAGGGTCCCCTTTCACTTGCTGTGAATTATTGTTGTTTAAATACCTGTAAGTTTATATAGCCATTGGTTCCATTTCCAAAAATATGCCTTGGCCGCAAGGAAATTGTTTTAAACACATTCTGTAAGTAATAAATATTTAAAGCAAAACAAATGATTAGGCTGTGAGATTAAAAATGGCAAACTTCAGATAGGGGGAAAAGAGAATTGATCAAACTTTTCCTATCTTTTAACCGTAGAGATAGAGTGCACCAAAAAATTTATAATGAAACATCAGCTGAGAGAAAGCTCTGCTGTCCAATAATTTATTCTTGACCGCCATGCATCACACTGTCAAGTACTGAGCTCTTCAAAATAACAGCCACCCGTGGACACATGAGGCACATCATGAGAAATACGTACGTCTGGCGGGATGGGCTGCATCACACTGGCCTCTGTTGCTAGGGAGACATGATAGCGGAAAGCAGAGGGAGGACCTGACAGGAGAAGCCAAGTAGTTGTAGGCAAATAACAAAACTCACAGAACATCATTCCCACCGAGAGAAGGTGCTGCAACCAGGGGAAAATTCTCAGGATCAACTGAAGCAATGGTGCGCTGCTGTCAATCACTTTCTGCTGTGCTAGCCAAACACCAAACTGCAATACAGTGTTTATTTATTTATTTATTGACACTCCATCAATAAATAATGAGGATGGAGAGCAGTCGTGACTAGCACTGCACACATCTAGGAACTCATACCCCTCAGCCTTAAAAACAGACCCATCGCTTCAGCATGGCACTGCGTTTACCCCCCCCCCCCCCCCCCAATACATACACACACACACACAGAAGGAGCAAGGTTGCATTTCTGATTTATTGTTTCAGAAATTGCCTATAAAAGCGAGACAGAGAAACAAGGCTATGTCACAATGCATCACATGGTATTATCCACATTTCTGAATTCTAAAAAAGACAGTTACTGTACATTAAAGTGCTTCTTACTCTATGACTGTCTTTGAAACACAGCATGAAGGGAAACTCATTGCTTTATCCAAGGATGAGTGGATTGCATTTGACTAAAGCCACCCACATATTAACAGACACTTTAATTCCATACCACACGCTCAAGGTCATCTTGCGCGTTCTCTCTCTTACAATCACAAAAGCTGTGTCTTCAGTACAGAAAGGCCCACACATTTCCTCTGTGCAGGAATAATTCCTTTCTTGGCAAAGCACAGAGCAGCAACATGTGTGAGCTCAGACACACAAGATTCTCTCAGCTGCATGTATTTTGAGCTGAGAACACATGCAGAGAATGTGAATAAGAGCAAAGAATTTGGTTTGATCTGCTGTGCTGTAAAAAGAGGGATTATTTATGGCTAGTAATCCATTTGAGGAGGGGCTGAGGGCTCCTCCTGCTTTAGCTCTGCTCGCTGACAGACTGGACAAATACCCAGTCTCCTCCTCTGCTCTGACCTCCCTCCAGCCTTTAGCAGAGGCACAGGTGCTGGCAGGCACAAGTCAAAGACAGCGCTGGTCACGATGTGTCATTCCCTTTGACAGCCACAGGGGGCACACTGGTTCTGTCCACACTGCTTGGTAGGAGGGGCTGGATCCGAGCCTTGTTTCTGCAGGCAGGAAGTAGGATAAAATTAACACTTAATAGTGACACTACCTATCTCAGACAGATTAGTGGTAAACATTAAGCAATATGGTTACTGCACAGTGTATTCACTCCGCAGCAATTCACTGCATATCTAATCTTTTTTAAATGTTTCAAAAAAAATGTATAATGTACATCAAGGTCAATGTCACAACCACGCCTTTAAGAAAGATGTCCACATAGCTGTCCTGTTGTCATTGTGCCACTGGGTGTCAGTGTGGTGACATATGCTGAACACAGTGTGGTTTCACTCTTTACCAGCTATTCATACCCCTCCCTTCTCTGCTCTACTTACTCTGTCATTCATTCTTTTATCTCCCGCCCCTGCTCACCTGGGTCTGTCTGCGAGTGGGCCGCACAGGCTGGTTGTCAGGGTGGTTGGGCGCCCACGGCCCCAGGCTCTGATTGGAGTAGAAGTCCATGGGGTAGACTTCCTTCCAGCCAACTTCCTGCAAAGCCACAGCTGCCTGAGAGATAATGAGACAGATAATCACAAACAATGTGTAAACTAAAAAGAACAATTGACATCATGTGCAATACCAGCCCACTGGTATGAGGTATGGAGCTATGGCACACGACTCTGCTGTTCTTTCCCCCTTGTTATCTAGGAATGTACTTGCAATTTTTTGGCAAACAAGCGGCAGGAAATCACAGCGTGATGAGAAGTTGCAACAGACAAGACAGGTGTCATAATATTAAGCTTGGATAACAGGCATGGTTGTCATGTTATCCCTATGCAGCTGCACTGCATGACACAACAGCTGTTAGAGGAGAGCAACAGCTCTGGCATGACAGTGCTGTGACACAAGTGCAGACTGCTCCTTATGGAAGAGAGGTGCCTGTGAATATTGATTCTGAATGACAGAAAGAGCAGCTGAATGACTGAACAGATGGATAAACAAGCATGCTGAATTAAAAAATCAAATCACTTGATTGTTCATTTATTAATTTATCCAACTGCTCATTCATCTTTCAAAATATTTAGATGCCAAGACCTAAGTTCGGCTTCATAAATCTTGGGATTAATTTAGACAATGTGTGTCAAAATATGATGAGAAAACAAGTCATATTAATATTAAAAATCTCCAAAAAACTGTCATTTGACAAATCAGAGAATTTAGTTCTAAAGGAAACATGAAAATGCACAAAAGGGATCAAATCTCTCTTCTGGCGGGACATAATTCATCACGGTTACACAGCTTGTGTTGAGCCTCTGTAGTTTCTTTTGTCAGTACGGTGTGTCCCAACACTGGCAAAGTAGTGTTCTCTTACACCCTGGCTGCATCTTTTAATAGAAACAGCAAAACAACACTCCCCTTCAACATGTTTTAAATCCTTCATATCAACAAGAAACAATAAAGGACAAAAGCAACAACAGTAGAGATTGATAAATGAACTTTCTTGGTCCAAACAAGTACTAGCTAGTAAGTATCTATTAAAAACACAATATATGGGTCACCTAAATTCCATAGTGTTTCCTCCTAAACAAACAAACTGTATACTGGATTAAATCTTTCATTGTGTTATTTTTTGTATATCTTTTCTTTCCCACTCGCCTCTCATTTCTGTAGCCCACTGCTCCCTTCTTCTCCCCTCTCACACCAACTGCCTCTCTCTGTGGAAGCTAGCTTCTATTGCTAATCCCTCCTCTGACTGTAGAGCCAAGTGTGTCTTATTGACTATAAATATAACATGAGATGCACTGAAAATAAATGCTGCCCCCCCACCCCCTTCTCCTTGTTCACTCCACCCTCCCATCTCATTCCTCTTCATTGTAAATGCCACACTGAAAAGCACAGTGCACTGAGACATAACAGGTATGAGATGGGGGTGAATTAAGACTTAACACAAACGCACACAAGCATATACATAGACATAAATGCAGCTGCAAATGATTTAAATGCACAGACATTGTTCGCAAATAGCTAGAGGGAGAGAGCAAAGTGAGCTCTGACAAAAGGGCTTAAGAAAACAGATTACTGCTTTTCTCATTACACCGGGGCGAATTTCAGACTTCACATGTACCATTACAGTCAAAAACAATAAAAAATAATAATCACTTCTAAGGTGAATGCTATGATTATTCATAATAGCCTCATTCTGAGATACAGTACAGGCGGTGCACAAACATGTGTAGTCTGAGAAAAACAGCAACCATTTCAAATCACAATCCAATATTCAAGACAGCAATTCCCCTTGCAGCCATTTCACAGGGATTCAAATCAGCCTGTCTTTGAGGAAAATCATTGAATGAATTAATAGGTGACATCAAACGCTAACCAACTAAGTCACATAATAAGACATAACTGCCAACCCATCACAAAGTTGCTACACCAGCTGCAGCAGCACACAAACAAACACTTGCTTTGAAATGGATCTTTATGGGTTGCTGTTCAGGGAGGGGTGGGTAGGGGATGTGTGGTCCTATAGCCAGTAGGGGGGGCTAGACATCTGCTGATGCTGTTGTATGTTTATTTGTGCTGGTGTGCTTTATAGCAGGGATAGAGGGAGAGGAGTAGGCATCTCCATTTCCAGCACAAGCAGGCCTTGATGGGTCCTACACAAATTCACACCTTGATTTGAATTTAAGCTTTGTGTGTGTGTGCGCAATGCATCACCCTCCTCTGATAAGTGAGTGACAGCTGGGATCTTGCTGAGAGACTATAAGGTGTATGTTTACCTCATATGGGGACAGCAGGGGTTTGGAGAAGGCTGTGCCCCAATCGATAGAAAGGCGTGGACAAGCAATCTGGATCCACCTGCAAGGAAGAGAAGTATAAAGAAATTTGTGTTTCAATGTACATCCATTGAGTCCAAAACGTGTGTAAACCAGAAGCAGTTACACAGGGTGAGAGACCAAGATCCTATTCTACAGGCAGGTCACATCTGCGTCTGCACGCTGCATGTGGATACGTGATGCAATGGGTTGTGCAGGGAGCCTCCCTCCACCTGATCTCCAGCATCTGTTTGAGAGATCTGTCTTGATTTGCAACCGCTGTAAAGGTAGCCACGCTACACTGTCTGAATGCATAGCCAGTCAGTGAAAGAGGGAAGCTGAAAAGAGAGAGAGAGGATGGTTTTTGGTGGTGGAGGGGGGAGGGGGCTAGACTGGATGCAGGAGGTATAAACAGGAAAAACAGGGAAGAAGTGAACAGAGGTGAAAAGAGAAAAAAATGCAGTGAAAAAAAGAGGGAGCGGTTAGGTGAGTGTGAATAAAAAAAAAACAGCACCAGCCCGGTCTCCACGGAGGTAGCCTACATAGCTGGCAGACAAGGGGGGGGCATGAGGAGGAGCGAGATGGGGAGGGGGGGAGGAAAAAAAGAGAGAGAAGGACACAGATATACAGCGATAGGGAGAAAGAGCAATGAAGATGAAAACAGAGGGAAGGGGCAGAAGAGGCACAAGCAGGAAGAGAACAGAGGCAGAAGATTGGTAGACAGAAAAGTGTTTACTCTGGAAAAAGCATGAAAGAGGGATGAGGAGGGTGTGGATGTAAACAGCTGGAGGGAAAAATGAACAATGGGAAAATAGGGACAGAGAGAAGCGGCAGGGGCTATGGCGGTTAGCTTTCACAGATCAATGCTATCCACAGGAGCTCCATGTCCACTGAGGGAGTTGACCCTCCCTCGTCCCTAATCCTAATGATGGAGCTTCATCAGAAGTATTGACAAATATGAACTGAGCTGCAGTGCTTATAAGAACCCCAGATATAACATCAGATCTAGGTAAATGTCAATAAGAATACACCTGTTAGAAACGAGTATAGGCTAGTACAGAAGCATGGATGGAAAACACATGAAAGAATAAAAGTTTTGCCGTAATCGCTTCAATACTTTTATGTCCATGCTACGGCGTCAATATCCCCATCTGTCTATTCTTCATTTTCCAACTTTCACACAATTTTCTCAACTGCAGAATTGAGTGCACCGTTGACGCTCGCTCGCCTCTTTGTCACAGAAATATTCCACCCCCTCAGGGAAAACGCGTGGCCTTTTCTCATTTTCATATAACACTTTTTTTTTTTTTTTAAATGTCTCCCCCCACAGACTGAACTCTAATTAATCCTCCTAATTCGAGCTGAGTCAGATATATTTGCACCAAGCACCAATCTCCTCCGACCTAAGTTTGCTGAGTTGAGATGGAGATGTGGAATCTGAAGTCCATCAGCAGTTCAGTAAAATTATGGTGTCATGCCAGGTACTGCCCTAAGAATGTGGCCCAAAGTTTTATTCCAGCCCTTATGTGGCCTTTAATATAGAAAGCGCAGCTAAGATCCCACATCATGGGTGCAGTGAAACAAAGAGAGAGCTGGAGGAAAGAAAAGAGAAAGAGGTGCAGAGACAGAGAAATGTGAGCTTTTGTCCAATAAAGAATGTATGAATACGAGTTTGATAGAAACCTTGTCTCTTCAGTCCCCCTCTTAAAGATCTGTTTCCTTATGTAGAAAGTAGAACCCCTCAACACAAAAAGACAAGCAAGGATTAGAGAAGCAGGAGGCAGAACTGGTGGGGACTATGCCGTGATATATAAAAGGTAAGGCTGCGTGACATTTAGTACCGCTATGCGATGTGAGTTCCAGCCCTGGCCTCCCTGCATTACCTGCTGTGGCCCATTACACCCTGACACTGTTAGGAGGACCTCCACCTGCATGGCTTCGCTTCAGTTACACTCAGTCTTGACCCGCCAAAAGCAAGAACAATTAACCTTTCAGCAATGCAGGAAAATGATAAATGTTCACCTTTGACAGCAAATGTAAGTGAATTAAAACAAACAATTTAATGGAGTCCAAAAATTTAATTTGAACACACAAAAGACTGCAATGCACTGGGTGGCATTTGCAGTCTAGTTGAGATCTAAGTGTGTGTGGTGTACAGATATGTGTACAATAGTTTTAAACCTGCTAGGGGACAGTCTAATTACACACTTAAGAGCATATGCTAATGGTGTCTCTCTTTATATGCGTGAGTGTGTGTGTGTGTGTGTGTCTAATGACAGAGAAAGCCTGGGGGTGGGCTCTGTACAGTGTACTGTGTCGGCTAGGGCTGAGCACTAATGCATCCGCTACCAGCCTACCGTCTATCTCTGAACCTCCCTCTCCCTCTTTCCTTCTACTCCACCTTCAACACAGCCAGATTCAACACAGCTTCAAACACACGGTGGTTTGTAAGGTCTATTGTAGCCTCATGCAGGATGCTTGTGTTCTTACAAACTATTCTGACTATTCACAACAAAAAGAGAAAAAAAATGGTTGACTAATAAACACTATGTTGTGAATAAACACTAATGATTAATTACATTGACATTGACAAAGGCACCATGGTAATAAATTAATGCAACTGAGCTGGAATTTATTCTTCACTACTTATATTAGGCAGTTTCTGATTGTACTATTTTTTTTTTTTTTTTTTAGACACAGTACTTGGATGACTAGGTACACCTATCTAGAAACTGGTGTAGTCTACAACAATAACCCTGCAATAAATGGTACCGTGGTGAAAGTTATACTGTTCGTTTTTATATTGAAATTGTTGAAACTGAGGTGTTGATTAAACTTCATAGTCATTTTGGAAGCTGCAGTGTGTGGCGTTATTAAATTGTACTGGATTATACCAAGAGAACTGTCAAATATTTTGTCCACCCAATTTGTATAAATAGAGCTAGACCACATATTAAAAACATTTCTTACAGAGCAGTTAGATAACTAGGTGTACCTAATAAAGTAGAAACTGAGTATATAAGCATATAATGTGTTCCTATCTGATATAAATGTATACAATGAGCCATTTTATATTTAAACCCTTTTGTTTCCCCTGTTTAAAAAGCTTTTTTGTCTCTAATGAGGGTTTGTTTTGGTTGGGTAAATCGTGCCTGACTTACATAATTTCAGATCTACACTCATACGTCAGTCTGAAGAGGAAAGCAAAAAAACAAAACAAAGAACTAAATCGCTTTTACCATGATCGCTTGCCTTCTAAACACAGCCCCCTCAACTACCTCTGCATCTCTCTTTCTCTCTCCAACTCACTCGCAATCTCTCTCAGACCTTCTGTCCTCTCACCCACTCCTCCCTCACACATCACACCTCTCATTACTCCACAGTGAGAGGCCAATCTGAGGGAGTGTGAGGAGCCTGTGTGTGTGTGTGCCTGTGATTGGAGCTGTTGCACATCAGTGTCTCACTAACCCCTTGCCCGTCTTCACCTCTGTTGTTCTGGTTGGAAGTCAGATAAATCAAAGAAACTGTTCCTTGAAGCCTGAGTATTTTATATTTCAATGAAGAAACTTTTTTTCAAACACAAGAATGAGTGTTACTGGGATGGATAACAACGTTAAGTGCTAGAGTGTATTTCAGCACCTACAACTGTGATTGTTAAGAACATATACTAATTACAAGATCCACAAGTGCATCAATGATAGAGCTGTAACTAATGACTATTTTGATAGTCGAATAATCTATCGATTAATGAAACAAATAATCGACTATTCGGATCATGAACTGCAAAATTACTCGATGCCTGATGCCCGATGTGACAGAAGCCAGCGAGACTTTGCAGTGAGTAAACCTCACTCCCCGACACCTTAAGAGACGCTCTGGCGACCGACGTTAGTGCCCATGGGTTTTGGCCTCCTTGTCAATGCGTTTGCCTCCACACCTGAAAGTCCTGTCATGGACAAAACAGGTATATACAGTAAGAAATAACTGTGTGTGCAAAGGTGTGCGTTGCACTCATTTGTGCAGCTAATCTGCTGTTAACAAGGCACAACGTTATCATTTATGTAGTAGCTTATCTGCTGGTACTGGGACACAGGGGGACAAACTGACATTTTTATATAAAGAAAGGAATAACTCAATGTATTACATTTGCCAAATTTACAAGAGGAGAAAATAATAACAAATTTGTCATTGACAGCGTTTCACAAATTAAGTTTCCCCTAACTCAACAACTTACAAAACTATGTGATTTTTTTGAAGTATTTAAGTTTAAGTAAGTAAGAGTATGGGTTGCATTAGCTGCCACCAAAATACAAAGTGTAAACACAAAGGTTTAGATCGTTAATATTCAGGTAACTGTCTGGATACAGATCATATTTTAATACATAGTTACACAATAAATGGTGATATGGGCTTTCACTTTCCCCCAAAAGCAATCCACATTGCACAGGGACAAATTGTCTGGTTATCTAGACTTGTGCACTTGACAGCAACACATTCTCCAGCTGTCACCATGAGCAATCTAGTGTTTATGATTGTAAAGTCAGGGCACATGTGGAATGGGAACAGTATCATTGTGTAAAATAATTATTTGCTACTCTCAAGGGAAGTTCAGAGTAAAAGTTATTGATTAAGAGAAAATGTACTGAAAATGTTACAGCTCATAACATGAAGTAACATTAAGATAGCTAGTTCACTAGGTCTCTGTAAATAATATCACAAAGAGTTCGGTCTAGACCTGCTCTATGTGAAAAGTGCAATGTGGTAACTGTTGTGAATTGGCACAATATAAATAAAATAGAATTTAACTGAATTTAATAGATGATTATTACAACACGCTTACACTGTGGACAAATGAAGATGACGTTACTTTATGGCGTGTATTGCAAAATGGAGGAAGAGAGAGAAAATAGTGAGGGACGAGGGAGAAGAAACAGGCCGGAGAAAAAGACAAAGTGTCCAAAGTACAGGATCATTTCAAGCTAAAAGAAAATAGTATCTCTGGTGTAAAACAGAACCAGCCTACCAAAACAGCATGACAGCATCTGAGCAGAAAGCATCCAGTATACAGAGGGGATCTGAAACAAGGTAATGTTAACGTTCGCATTTAAAGTAAACCATGGTTGCTAGTTGAGATGAAGGCTAGCAAAGGTATGGCACGATTCTTAGTTGTAAATGTATTAATGTGCGTTTGTTGTTATTGTTTTCCCACAGGTTAGTCCGTGAGTTTGGGTTGTACAGTGATGTGAGTAACACAGCTGATCCTGGTACCAGGGGCGCCAAGCAAAATAATTTCTTATCTGATTACTCAAATTGATGGAATTATCTGTAGAATACTCGATTACCAAAATAATCGATAACTGCAGCCCTACACTTCACCAATAATTCCATAGTGTGTGAGGAAAAGTGTTATTATGGGTGACTAGTTCAGGTAAGGAAACATGCTTGGACTTATGGTAAGATGATTAAATTAAACAGAATTTGGAGGGTAAAGGTAAAGGAAAAAAAGCCATTCTGAGCAACAGCAATATAATGGCTACTATATTTAGTTGTTTTTTTTACACTAAGCTTATTGTAAAAGTACAGAGTGAAAAGTAAGCACTTTAATAGATAATTTGAGTCTAAAATCCCTTTTCTATGCCCAGTGTGTCAAAGCTGAGGAAACTGTATAAAGCATGCAAGTTTATTATGCTGGACAATTTGTTTTTGCTATGAAGGCAAAACTATGAAATCTCACAAAGACATGAATGCCAATTTTGTTTATGTTTATCAGCTCCTTGTTATAATATGCACTTTCAAATTATGCGTAGTCCCCAGTTATGTGTGCAATGAAGCTTACAGAATACATTTCAAATGTTGTTTACTGCAACTTTTAGGTGCCTACTTGCAAATTGATCAAAATAACTCTGCCAATGATTTAGAAGAAGAACCATAACCATTCTTTATGACAGAGACAAAGAGGTGATTAAGAATTTGAAGAAAACGGTGAGCCAAAGGAATTAATTTTAACTTTAATGTTGCAGAGAGCCATGGCACATTGACAAGGAGAAACTATATAACTGTATAAGATTGTCTTCAAGTCCTTGCAGTAAAAAAATTAAAATGGCAAACTAAGTAAGGGGGTATCTTAGCTTTGCCCCACAGTGCTTCAATGCATCAGAGGCGTCATCAGAGGGAATAGACCAAAATTACTTTGCAAGTGACCGAATGAGCCTTAAACCAGCTATAGCCAGAACTAAAATAAGGTGCTTGATTTGTTGTCTATATTCCTGTTCTGTTGTGAAAACTGAGTCTTGACTGGATGTCGATGAATTTGCGCTGGCTTCTGCAAAGCTAGGAGAATATGGGCGATCGTTTTTACTTCATCTGCCGTACAGTTCAGTTCTGATTATGAATAGCATTTGTCCCAATTTGTGTACATATGTGGATCTTAATACTCACGCATCTACATCTGCATCAGATCCAGCTTGCTAGGGAAAATCTCAGACAGGAGCACTCGAGTGAAGGACTTGCCCAATGACTGAAGCCTCGACTCCAGGTGCTAGTAGGAGAAAGGAGTAAAATAAAAAGGACCAATGCAAAGGTTTGCAATTCAAACATCAAACACAGTTCTCTCTAGGGTTGTGAAACTCCACTACATGAAATGATACATTACAAATAAGATAGCCCACAACTTCCACCACACAGACACAAACATATAAGCGTTCTAATCTAGAGTTGTGCAGAAATTTTAGCTCTACTGTGAACAATCTCAACAGGGAGACAATTTTATCCATTTTCCAGTCTCTGCCTCATATATCCATACATCTTTTTTGCTGCTTACCCAAGTCTACATGGTGGTGACAGCAAGTTAAGCAAGGTAGCAGAAAGATTAGGATATTTTCCTACACCGTGTCCTCCACCTTCTCCAGGCATTCTCAGGCCAGGTGGGATGTGTAATCCCTCCAGCATTTTTGGGGGCTTCCTCCAGGTTTCCTTCCAGTTGGCTCTAGCCAGAATGCCTCCACAGGGAAGCATCTGGATCAGACACCCAAACAACCTCAACTGCCTCATTTCAGAACAAAAGAGCAGCGGCTCTACTCCAACCTCCTTAGGGATGTTCAGCCTCCTCAAAATGTCACTCTGTGCCCAGGAACACACCAAAAGAAACTCAGAGTCTACCCAGAGCCCAGAACTGTAGGAGAGGGCAGAAATTCAGATCGAACACTTCTGCTTCAGATTTCCTCTTCATGAATGTCCAGCTCACATTACTGCCGATACTGAACCAATCCACTTGTCATTCTCATACTACATCTTACACAACAAACAAGACCACATGACACTTGAACTCCTTCAAATTATTCAGCAATTCGTTCCCAACCCAAAGGTTTTCAGGCAGAGTATCAGACCGTCAGACGTGGAAGTGTTGACTCAAACAATCACTTCACACCTAGCAGTAAACCACAACAATGAGCACTGGAGGTCACAGTCCAGTGTTTCCCCACACATAGGCTTTACTTGGGGGGGCCGCCCAGGTAAATTTGGCGAATCATTTTAAAATCGTTTTTGATTGCAGCACTGTGCAGCGCATATGCACATCCTCTCACTCGGTCGCGCTCTCTCTCTCTCTCTCTCTCTCGCAAACATGGACAACAGACCCGTCTGTAAATTGAATGGTTGGTATAATAATAATAATCATCTTTATTTGTAGAGCACTTTTCAAAAACAAGTTACAAAGTGCTTTAACAAGTGTAAAGACAATAATACCCCAAAAACAATACAAGATAAAAGCAAGAAAACATTGAAAAGACTAAAATACAGGTTTAAGATAAATATAAGTAAAACAGAATAAAATGAAAGGGATAAAATAAAGTCAAATAAAACCGGGAAAGGCTCTCCTATAAAAGTATGTTTTAAGAAGGGACTTAAAAGAGTTCACTGACTCAGCCGACCTGATTTCCTCGGGCAGGCTGTTCCAGAGCCTAGGGGCCCTGACAGTAAATGCTCTGTCCCCTTCAGTTTTCAGTCGAGACTCTGGAACAGACAACAGACCTCTGCCCGAGGATCTCAAGGTATGTGCTGGTGTGTATGGGACTAAAAGGTCAGAAATATAACAAGGTGAGAGGCCATGAAGAGCTTTAAAAGTGATCAATAAAATTCTAATTCTAAAACATACTGGGAGCCAGTGTAGTGAAGCTAAAATAGGGGTGATGTGGTATATTGTGTGGCATATTTCTTTTTTCTGGTTAAAAGCCTGGAAGCTGAGTTCTGGACAGTCTGGAGTCGATCAGTAGATTTTTGGGTTAAACAAGTGAAAAGGCTGTTGCAATAATCCAGGCGTGATGAGATGAAGGCGTGTAAAATGGTCCTGGTGTCCTTAAAAGTTAACATAGATCGAATTTTTGCTATATTTCTAAGTTGATAAAAACATGATTGAACAAACTTTGTGGTGTGCTGCTCGAAATTTAAATTACAATCAAACCAGACACCAAGGTTCTTTGCAACAGGCTTAATGTGATTTCCTAGAACCAGCAGATGGCAGTATTTGTTTTGCCATCTGCTGGGTTCAGCTGGAGGAAATTATTTGACATCCATTTTTTGGTAAGTGAACTCAACATTCCAGGGTCTGTGGATCTGACGGGCAAGTATATTTGTGTGTCATCAGCATAAATCTGGAAAGAAATACCATGTTTATGGATAATATGTCCAAGGGGAAGCAGATACAAGAAAAACAAAATGGGTCCTAAGACCGACCCCTGAGGCACACCATATTTAACTGGACAGAACGAAGAGACATAGTTGTTTACAGACACGCAAAACTTCCTATTTGACAGGTAGGATGAAAACCATTCAAGGGAACAGTACCAGAGATCCCCACCCAGTGCCTCAGTCTGTCTAACATGATGTTGTGATCAATGGTGTCAAAAGCAGCGCTAAGGTCCAGGAGTACCAGGACTGAGCACATGCCTTCATCAGCAGACATTAAAAGGTCATTGGTGACTTTAAGCAGGGCAGTCTCAGTGCTGTGGTACTTCCTGAAACCGGACTGAAACTTTTATACTATTTTTACTTAACTTTTACTTCTATTTTCCAGTACAGTGAGCAATTGTTTGGACACAATTCTTTTTAAAATCTTTGCAATAAAAGGCAGTTTTGAAATTGGTCTAAAATTTTGTGGGAGGGAGGGATCTAAACCAGGTTTCTTTAAAAGTGGGTTCACGCAAGCCGTTTTAAAATAATCAAGGACACAACCAGTAGATAGGGAGCTGTTGAAAACAGAGATCAAATGGGGCCCAACAAAATCCATTACTTTCAGTAAAAACTTTGTAGGTATTACATCAAGTGGGCTGGAGGACACTCATTTGTGATACTGTTTTTAAACTGTATCTGATTGATTGTATTTATTGATTGTATTGAAATCTATACAACACAACGCTGTCAATGTCCGAGACCCATCTTCAAAACAGTTATTAGCAAGCATGTAAGGATCCTAGCTTATAAGGATAGCTATGTTAACTTTGGAAAACAGCTGTCGAAGTTACCGCGCTGTATTACTGGTAGTCAACAGGTGTGTTTGAGTTAACTGGCTGACTTTCGCCGACTTGATAGATAGGGGAATAAACAGCGCCGTCAAGTCAGTGACGTTTTGCAGCGTAGGTGCTGTGCCGAATTCTGCATGCCTGCCATGAATTGCATACACCTCACGGGAGGTAACGTTAACGCTCTTTTATACTGAGAAAAGAGGTGGATGCAAATTTCGGCAGGTAACGTTAGCCTACAACATCCGTTTTGCCGAATTATGTATTCACTTATTAAGGTCCTTTTCAGACACTTTGCTTTTCACATTGTTTGAACGCGGTTAAAGCCACGTTTTTGCTGAGTCTCAAGAAATGGTAGCCTACTTTTACAAAGTGTAATAATATGTTAACGATTTTTAATGTTCATTAAATATATGCAGATCATTTATGACTATTGATGAACCCCACAAAGAATAGTATAGCGTTTCAAAGCACAACTTGCTTTTCATGCAATTCTCGGCAAGCATACAAAATTCGGCATAACCCCCCGCCACAGTTAAGCTGTCAATCTATGGGAAACACTGCAAATGAAGTCAGTCACCAAACTGGTGTCTCTCTCCACTCCCTGAGTGCAACTAGAGATTTTATCTAATAAAGATAATAGAATTGGTAACAAAGCAAAACCCAGCCCGAACTCCCACAAAGAACCCAATTCACTTGTTGCTGAGAATACAGATACAACACTTACTCTATTTACCTTACCTTTACATGACATCCTGAGGGGCACGATCTTAAACCTTCAAGTCCACGAAACACAAGAATTTTTGTGAAAATTACCCTTCCTGACAAACTAGAGGGAAAATGCTTAGGTCCATTGGCTGAGTAAGTAACAGTCAGGGCCTTTCCTTCTGTGACACACCATGATATGGATGCAAGATTATTTTTCTATAGGGGAAAACTCAAGGGGATTATGAGTGTCCCCCCAACTGACCTGCATCTTTCACTTTGGGCAACTCCGGAAAAGGAGAGTTTAGCCAGGAGTTTGGTTCCAGAGCTGGTGTTGTGTATAGAGGTGAGCCAAACTATATATTTGTGTTCAGCACACAAAGCTTTGCTTTCAGCTTTGCTTTACATTTCTCAATGCCACAGACCCCTATACCACCCTGGAGGGTAGTGGGCCTATATATAGCTGATCAACCTTACTTCCTCAAATTGAGCTGAATCGGGCCCTCTTGAGCACAACTCCAGACACAAGGACTTGTATAACATATTAATAATGAAACGGTTTAGCTAGTTTAAGGAACTCTGCTCCCTTGCTGATTCTGCCTTTGAAGATTTGGGCATGTGTACTTGGACTGAGGTGTTATTCAAGGATGCAGAAGGCAGCCAAACCAAGTTAAGAAATCCCTTAAATGCTCCTTGGATGAGATAAACGATGATGGAAGTGATATCCACTGTCCTTGGGAGTATTATGAGACATTTATGTGAATGTGCTCTTATCAGAGATAGTTCTGTCCCCTTACTTGAGAGGTTATCTGACACTAAACTTTTTAATCTTGACGGATCTCTATGGGAGAGCTGGTGGGACTTTTTATTCAAATACCCTTTTTTAAAAATCCATCCACTCCTCCATCAATGCAAATGTCATCTTTGAAGTCTGGATATTTACAAGCAGAAGAAGTGCATCAATATAAGCCTAAGAATGTATACTGACTGAGAGAAACCTAGATGTGGCGTTGTTCTAAAACTTTTACATCTAGCATTCAAGTGGATATCCATGCATTCTACGAGCAATGTATAATAATTGCAGACATTATGATGTGAAAAAGGCACATTTAAAAAACAAAGTCAAACTCACAACAGTAAGAAAAAAAACTGAAAGTCTGTGAATACAACAAGGAGATACAATGAAGAAAACAATATGGAACAGGCAGTGGAGGGGAAAGCACCAGGAGGAGCAGCTGTGGGTAAGGAGTGACCAAAGAGGGCTTCTTAGTCAATTGATTAGTAACCCTAGACAGATTTATGACAGAGTTTCTCATTTAAGTGTCTGTCTGCACCTAATGGACCATCATGAGCTTGCGTACATACAGAGTATCTATGAATACATTTCCCAGGATTATTATAGTTAATCTTTGGAATTCTGTTTGGGAATGTGCTGAAATTTCTGAATAACCACAGGAGTGGCAATTCTGAGAACCTGGATTTTTCAGAATTAATTATAATGATTCAAATTCTTCATTTACTGGGGTTGTGCTGTAAAAAAAGCCAGTGTCAATTGTTTTGATTTTGTCAACTGATTTAGATTTTTGTTGAGCTTTCTTAAATATTTATTTATTATTTGTCATTTAAATTTCCAATACAGTCAAACTAGAAGCCAACAGCGGGATCAAAAATAGGACTTTCTATGACTGTTTGGCTGCATCATCCTAAATGTGAAATAACAAGCTCCCAGAGTGAAGACTGCTCATCCTATCAGTACTTCATGTCACCAAACCACTTGTCAGAAAAACTCACACTGGTAAATATTACAGGCCATTGCACAAGTGGCCTCAGGATATGTAGACTGTTGAAATCAGGATGCAGACTCTCACCTCCAGGACTTTGGGGCTGCCCTGCCGTCCCAGTGTACCCAGGATCAGGCCCCACCTCTGGGCCAATCGAGCCTTGTCAATAGCTTGGAGCCTTAAGGCACGCATTGTCTCGTGGTCATAGTACTCCCTGGAGAACACCTTACTGTAGGGGTCATACCTATGAACAAACACAGATAGAAATAGGCTAACACATACTGATGTGAACGTGTGCATAAACAGACAAACCATATTATATACATTACCATTTATTGTTCAGGCGTCTATCTTGAGAACAGAAATGAAGAAGAAAAGGTGAAAAAATCCAATCATGAAAAGCCATGAAGTATGACAGGAGTTAGTGTATCTTAGGAAAAATGGAGGTATTTCTGAGCATCTAATCTCTTTTTCTCCGGTACAAGGAGTTCACTTGAGATTAGAATCTTGTTTATAAGAGAGACCTGTGATCTGTGTGGCAGTGCATGTCTATAACAACACAATTTCACTTTGCATACAAACAAGACTTCATCAAAACAGAACTTCATCCTTAGATCATGGCAGTCAAGGGGATTATTAGTTATGAGATACTTTTTCTATGCATAAAATATTATTCTGAGTATTTTAATAGCTTATCACAAAAGCTTATGTTTTTATTATTTGTAAAATTGTATTGTACTTCCTTACTTCTCCTTAGTTCACCAGCTTTGCAGTCAGATTACTCAAATCCATTTACTGGTTTTTGTGAAATTGTGTGAATAATATTACAGCTTTAATTGTAATGTAATGTAATTAAGTAACTGACTACAACAAACATTTTGTAGATCTTAGTATATTGATTACAGAGAAACTAAAAATTGTAGCAGTTTGTCTCACAATACCTGTAGGCAGGGATATCTGGGTTTGCGATCATGATTGACTCCAGGTGAAATCTTCCATCTCCCAGATAACTATAGAAAAACACCATTTCATTGTTAGATGTAGAGAAAAGAAATTAAGAAAAATAATTTGTGAAAAGGAAACCCCAATCACAATCCAATGTGAAACTATAATAAATAATGGTCTATTATTCTCCTATCCCCTCTACCAGCTTCCTCACTCGCTCTCTTTTTAAATCCATTCCTCTCTGCAGCCTTGTAACAGAAGACTGAAGTTGACAGAAGTGTTACCAGGCAGAAGGCCTGAGGCTGGGGTGGAGGATCTGCACATCTTTGCTTTCCGGGAACATGACCCCAACGATTGGAGCATTCTCTTTACAGAGAATGCAAGCCCTTCCAATTAACCCAAGGTCTGGTGCTGGGGATTCCCCGGAGCCCAAGCGGAGGGAGAGTTCACAAACCACAAGTACAGTGGGGCGTGTTGGTGCCTGAAACACAAGGCCAGGAAGAGTCTTACATAAACCCCCCCCTCTCGGGTTCAGGCTGAGAAGAATTCTGCTGTTAGTGTGAGGGGGCTCAGGTCAGTACCCCTACTCATTATGTACAGTCTCAGTAGGCCTACCGAGACAGGACATGCAATTAAACCCACAAATTGGTCAGCTTTTAGAGCAGCTTGGAACAGGCTGTGGGTGGTTTGTCATATAGGCTACCTGGAGACATGTCTAGCCAAGACTTTATTTATAAGTGTGTGGGTGTGTTTGTGTGAAAGCCCACGTGTGTCTGACCGTGTGTGTGTCACAAATATCACTGAACGACAGCACAAAATGAACTTGCGCTGTTTCTCTTTGCTTAGCAACATCCAAGGCCCTCATATAATTATGTTCCAACAATAAGCCTGTTGCACTTCAGCCACGTTTGTCCAAAGCTGTCTGCAGCTTTAAGAGGCTGGTGAGCTCGACTTGAGCTCTGCCTGCTATCACAGTCCTTCCATCCATATTCTATTGTTCTTTGTAAAAGTTATCTCCCTTAAATGGTAAAGCTATGCATCTTTGCGTTATGCAACACTGTGTCTTCACAGTCACATCTTCATAATTATCTATTATGAGCGAGAGCAAGGGTAGAGGCAGCGGATAGAAATTGTCGACTGATCATTTCTTATAGCTCTTTTCAATGCACTGTTCAGCTTTTAAAAACACTTTTGTTCATAACAGAAATCAGACAGAACAGGCCCTTTTTAAAGTAGCTCAAAGCTTAGGTAAAATGCAAGTAACATTTTTTGGAGCACGGACTCACTCCTAATTAATGTAAGATAACCCAAAAAATAAATATGAATTCATTGTATTGTTAAAGGCCATGAACAAAACCATGCACCGGTAAAAAGGGCTTGTTCTGTGCTGCTTTTCTTGGACATAGTGTATAATCAATTGTGTCAGTATCTTAATAGTAATTCATTAAAGTAAAAGGAAGCTTGTTAATTACTCAGTAATTAAGCTTTTGATATAGCTATCACAGCAAAAAAAAAAACCCAACATTTCTTCTATTACGGTTTATAATTAATATTGTACACTGTGTAGAGGAGTAGGTCTCTTGCTATACCATAGAGGCGGGAGATATAGCCCAATTCAGGAGGGTTAAAGTCCTGACCACATGTGTATGTTAAGGATGTGTATTGAATTTGTGTGTGAGAAAAAAAGAGACAGAGAGAGAGAGAGAGAGAATATGCCTGAGAGTGTACCAACCCTCAGGCAGCCTAATCGATTCTCTCTCTCTCTCTCATCACACCGCAAACATGAAAGACAACGCACATCGGATTAGCAGGTGAAACACACCCTAACCCTACCATTTCCACCACACGCACACACACACACACACACAGCTTTGTCTCCCATAGGGCCTGTCTTATGCATAAAGCAAAGCTTGTCCTTGTGTAGCCATTTTAATCTCATGCACTGGGAGGTTTTAATCACGTGGACTAACACTAGATGTGTGCAGACCAGACATACGGGGTGATACACCTAGACATAATTATACCTGGGGAATTACTCCAACCCACTGTGCACCACAAAGCATAGGATTCCCTCTGCTGTAGAGCTGTACAAGATGTATAGACACAAAGTGGTTGCGGAGGTGTTATTTGTTGCCTGATCTGTTACTTTGCCAGAACACTGGCACTCCCTGTACTGCAGGGAGGATAAGCATCCCTTTGACAAGTCTCACATGCACAGCATTTATGATGATATAAAACACCGAAGAGCTAGTCTTTTAGGACACATGTAGCTACCTACTGGATTTTATCATCTTCTCCCCTTATTTAGAGGAAATGTAGAAGGGAAATAATTTTATCACACAAGCTGAAACTAATTTAAAGACAAATGTTGCACAGTTGATCAATTCTCACCACGAACGTGCCACAGTAGATGTCACACTTTGTGACAACAATTCTTTAAAATGCAGAAAATTGGTGAGGATGTGGATGTATTGTGGTTGGTCTGAAACAGCTAAAAGTGGCATTGCCTGTTTGGCTTGACAATTCAATGCTTTCCACAGTGTGGAGGTATTTTTAGACTTGCCGTTCTGGATCAGCACCTGGCTGGATATAACAGAAGCCTGATCAGAAGCACACAGACATAGGTCGTTGTCACAGCTAGCTATGTCTGGTGTGTCATACTGATTATTCCTCATGTCACATGGGTGGGCATGGCAATGGCAGGGGTACATATGGTAGCTGTGGTGGTGGTGGTGGTGGGGTGGTTAAGTCAAGGCTGGGTGATTATTTGGATATCGCTAGTAACTAACAGGAAGAAAGGACAGGACCTGGGCTGAAACTGTGTAGGTGGGAGGAAGGAGGTTTCTTACATTATGGCATTGACATGGTGATCCAAGCGCGGGGAGGTACAGCCCAAAATTTCTCCGGGTGACAGAGGTCGACACTGTGGGACTAACACATCATACTCTGGCTTGAGCTCTGCACTCACAGCCTGCAGCATGGAGGAATGGAGAAAGAAAGATCTTTAGAGATTCACATGTTTTCACACTTAACCAATTCCCTTGTTTTGGAGTAGCCCTAGGTTTGGAATAGTTCTCCAAAAAGAGAGCTATGAGGTAGAGTCTTAAAGTAACCCTTGGATGACTTGTACACATCATAAGTACACAAATGTTGACAGCAAAACAGAAATCATAACCTAATACTGGCAAAAAGGTTGTGGTGGGCCTCATTTTTCTGCTTCTTGTGTTGTTTAACTGCAGATTGTTATGGCAGAAAATTATGTATATATATATTATTCCTCTTACATTTAACCTTTTATGCATGTTCTTTTACTATTATTATTATTATTACTATTATTGTTGTTATGTCTTATAGATATATATGCAATGTGTTTTTTATCCTTAACCTTTCTTTCTTCTAAACTCCTTATGTTAGTCCATCCACATTTACTAGGGTTTAGGTCAGAGCTGTGAGATTGTTTTGGTGTTTTCCCTCTCTTGTTGTTCCTCTCCTCTCCTGGAATGTTCATTCAAGGCTGAGAGAGGATCTCTGTTCCCCAAAACATGGAAACCTAGACTGTGTAAATGATTACGCATCCCTTTGCTCGTGGACAGAAGTTAGTTACTGTCCTAGGAGACAGAACCTCTGGTCCAGCTGATTTGTGTGGCGGTACTTCTGTCTATTCTCCTTTGTTAAATAAATTCTTCAAAGACAACAGTTTGTTGTAACTCAATTATTTGCTCAACCCCTCACCAGGAATATAGTTTCCATGACACAAGATCATGTCCAGTTTTAAGATATAGGTATAGAGAAAAAGTAATGGAAATAATATATAGCCACCAGAAACAGAAGAATAAGGCTTCCCAAATAGGTGAATGATTAATTAAAAAATGACGACAAATTAAAGGAGGGGAGCCATCAAACACAGGAAAAGTAGTTAACTGAATATGCTAAATATGTGCAAAAACACAAGCAATCAATGCCATGAAGAGTAAGCTTATTGGGGAATTAAGAGTTTGATCAAAACCATACATACAACCCATTTGTAATATATATACATAGTGTATTTTCACTTGGTACATCCTACATTTCTTTCATTTAATATTCACATAATTATTGGATTATTCAGTGGGATACCGTCAGAGTATTGTGAATATTGTGAATTTTTTCTGTGTTAAATATGTCATTATGTTAGAGAATGCACAATACCCTTTATTGATAGTGAAAGCATCCCATTAATGCTTTGTATATAAGGTGACTTATTTAAGCTGTCACTTCCTGCTTTTTTATAAACATCTTAATGCGCCAAACTTGAAATTAATCCAGAGTAGCTGCTGATCCAATCCTTTTTTGCAGTTGTGTTGCCATTGTGAGTGCCTGTATTTGTGAAAAATATAGAAGGAGAGAGGACATTTTACATGCTCAATATGAGTATTTAACTTATAAAGAAGGTTCTCACTTTTCTTCATTTAGCAGCTCCCCTCCTTTTTGCTTTGTGTAAAAATAGAAGACACAGAAGGAGTCAAACGATGAAGGACAGAAGGCAATGACACAAAGAATGAAAGAAGTGAAATGATTAAACTGAAAATGTACCTCTAAAGTGATCCTCAATGGGCCATGCATGACACTAATGTAATACTAAATGTATGGAGTCATGATTCTGCAAAGCACTGAGAAAGAAACTGTCTACCACATGGCATGTCATACTAATAAATTATTACAATAAAAAAGATGTAGATAAGAAGAATACCAACACATTAACAAGGGAATTAATATTTTCTGAAAAAAGTGATGCCCAAAAAAAAAATCTGTTTTTCCAAACACATACATTCATTTAAGCAAAGTGAGAAGATGAGAGAACAAACAATTATAGACACATGTTAGTGTGCTTGGAGGTGGACGATTTAACGATGGCTAATTTAAGGCAGTCCACAGGGAATACTGGTGAACTCCCAGCTTCTCCCGCCCATACTATGTGACCTCAACAAGCCTACACACCATAAGACATAAGTGAGATGGAGGCACACATGCATACAATACACAACAACAAACACAGAGACGATATGCACACATCAACACATGGAGGCACTCAAACACCCCAACATAAAAAATTACCCACATGGACAGAGCTTGGTTTAAAAATAACGGCGGTTACATTAGCGAAAGCCCAGAGTGGTGGTGGTTCAACATAGCAAATGGAAGCAGCAGAACGCATTATAGAACTGAGAGGTAGCGAGTCTGGAAAAAAAAAAAAGAATGTTCAAGCTTAATACTATAGCTGCTGTCACTGCTTATGTAAAGAGAAGAGATGAACACGATGCTGAACCGAGAGGCCTTCCGAGTTCATTCTACCTTTCAAATCCAAAATAACTGGATTTCTCAAACCCACACTTGAACTGAGCTTAAGTGTGAAGTGCGGGCTTGTTCATAAAAGCCAGGAACCAGAAAAAGTATACTGTATAAATGCACTGAAGTGTATATGTGTATGTGTGTTCCTATACTGTACATACAAAAATACTTGGGTAAAACAGAAAATACACACAAGGGATAATAATTATTCAGGTAAAGATATAAAATCACTCTACATCAGCTCTCTCTAACACAAACATGGACTCACCCACATATACACAGATCACACAATCAGACAGATCCAGCGCTTAATCACCTGCAGCGCTGCCACAAACTGAATAGTGCTGACGAGTGCCAAGGATTGTCCAGGAGGGAAGTTGAACTTAACCGTGTCCAGGAAGTGTGCGTTGTCCATCTGGATATCCACAAACACATACAGCATTTTAATACCTGCTGTCGCATCTATGGGGACTGCAGGGAGACGAAGAAAAAAGAAAGACAGATGAATAATTCACTCTGTTATGTCAGGTAAGTCTGTGTGTGTATTATATAGCACCAATGATGCCTTAGACATTTACAAGGAGCACATGGTCAGAGATACAACTATATGTGAACACAGTACATGCACATATATAGCTTGCAGTAGGCACCCCAGAGTGATATAACTGACACTCATTCATTGTGAATCTCCAGCACACACTGATGCAAAGACCTCAATTATTTAGGGAAGGAGAGGGACACATGTGATTACTATTAATGCCATTAATTTCACAGGCCATTTACTACGCACCCAGGCTTAGGAGATGTAGCTAGAGACGTGCTGAGTTAGATACTGAAAAAGTGGGCGTAAGTAAAAGAAAATAGGGGGAAAGGGCAAGGGTAGGAAAGAATAATTATCATTTGTGTTGATCATCATAATGATTTTTCCTATTGTGTTACATTTAATTTGCAGATCAAGAGCAAGGGGACTTTTTTGATATGATTAAGCAAATGGCCCATTACTACGCAAATGTTTTATGAGCAAGTGCAGCTCACTTGATGGCCTAGATTAAAGCAACACAGAGAGAGAAATAAGGGAGCAAAGCATGACAAGGGGGCAGAAAACAGAGTGTGAATAGAGAAGGGTGGACCGAGAGAATGAAAAGCCGCGAGATAGACATCTTTACAATGGATTGAAGGCAGACCGGATGGAAACCAGGAGTGAGGAATGAAAACACTGAAATTCAATATGAGGGGTGAGTGTAGGCGATTTAATAATGTACTATATAAATTCAAAAAGATAGGGCGTGGAAGAGATGAGTGGAAAAAGTAATCGCATACTGTGTGTGGATGTGTTGATGTATGTTTGAGGGTTGGAGAGTGTGCTGTCAATTAACCAGCAACAGAACCCATCTGCTCATATCTCAGCAGAGAGGGAAGGAAAGGTGGTGGACAGGTATCTAAAAAAGGTGGGCACTGCTGCAGGCCACATGTTGAGTGAGAAACCAAAGGAACTTATTATATCATTAGGCCAAAAGGGATGGAGGCGAGTAAAAAAGTTGCGGATGTCTGTTTCTTGTTTATAGGCACTCCCAAAACTTAAAGGGCAAAGGAAAGTGACATCGATCTGTGTTCACATTAGCATGGTAGCCTGAGAGCACTTAGAAGCTGCAATTAGATCAGTCAATGAGATGGACAGGACTCACTTGCCCCATCAGTGGTTTTGTTCATCAGTGTGTTATAGCAATAAGGTCACTTGGCACAACTGCTTATTATTGGCCATGTAAACAAATACACAGACATATTCATAGCAAGAGGGACTAAGAAAAGGTTAGACATAATGGTGTACTGACTTATTACAAATGGCTTGTTTACAAATCAATATGTCCTAACAGGTTCAATTCTACTGTGCTTGTGGACAATGAATACATGCACAATACAGCAGTCATTTGGCACCTTTAACATATGGTCCTGAACTGATCTATGTCCAATTTTGTGCCAGTAAAACTTTGATGATATCAGAATTTAACCTTTATACCACTATAATGCAGAAAGTCTGAGCTGGTGCTACCACTAGGAAACTAGCTCCAACTGGTTTGAGTGTTGGGTACGTTTTGTTCTACAAAGGGTATTCTAAAATGACTCATGCCACCAAAATAGTGAGGACATTGGTGATGTTGAAGAAGGTCCAGTAATACTTTCAGCTATGGCAGCTGGCCTGGCATTATCTGAGCAAGGCTGCCATGTCTTGCCAGTTTTATTTTTTACCATTTTTTTCCAATAACCACAATGAAGTAAGGGTAAAACTCTCACTCCTTTTCCCTTTAAATATTGGGTGTTTTATGTTCAGACATTAATTTACAAAAACTTTGTTTAAACCAATCAATAAGGTTAAATACATCTCCCAATCCTCATATCAACTAATATTACTATAACTTTAAAATATACAAAGGTTTTATGATATTGCCCATATTGTTCTGCACTAGATCACTAGATGGAGGTTCTTTATGGTGACAAAAGATGAGATAGCACCAATATTCCAAAGCCGATACTGTAGAGGAAATGAAAGGGGAATAAAGAGGCCCAGGAGAGAGTTTGTCCATGAGCCAGTGAGAACACAGCGGCTTTAATCTCCAACAGGTCTCTGACACCTTGGGAAACAGTGGAGATGATGGCCTCATGATTGTGTAATGAAGGTCAGAAACACACACACACTGGCACACTTATACACAGATTCTTTGAGAATCTGTAGTTCATCCAATTTATTTGAAAATCTCTTCCATCAGTTAATTTCTGATCTAACTTCACAACCCACAATGAATTGATCTTTGGTGTCTTTATCTTTGCCTTTATTGGGTTCTTCTGAGTAATAATGGGTAAGGGCACACATCTTATCTCTTTAGTCAACATAAACGCATACACACACATAATTCCTCCATAAATATCAAATAATGAATATTCACGCACATCACACACAACAATAAACAAACAAAAAAATGTACAAAGCAATACAGAGTTTTGCTTTATACTTTTTCAGTTTATTAAAATTCTGTTGGTCATTTCTGGTATTTGGGAGAGGTTGTTCTGGCAGGGATATATCAAAACTATTGATTTAGCATTTCCTCCCATGTTCTGCAAGAGACAGACAGCGGGGGCGAGGGTGAAGGTCCTCAAGAACTCCATGAGCCTTTCAAATGACGGCTCTAATGCATGTTCCCCATTGATCTGCTGTAAATGTGATGTCCAGGTTCCAAAGGTCTGATATGCCTTCCATACTAGAGCTGGGCGGGCGGCACTAACTAGTTACGTTTTCCGTTGATCGATAGTTCTGTCTGTCAGCCTGACTGTGCTCTGACTTCTTTTTCATTGGTAGGTGGGAGTCCTTGATTTTTGCTCACTCCTGTTTGGTACAACAGAGTGACCAAGAGACAGACAAACATGCACGCGCACACACACACAAAGAGGTAAAAGAGACTCACTAAGACAACTGTGGCCATAGTGCACCATAAAATCAGCTCCCAGGGCTCGGGCAGTGAAGTCGTCCAAGCAGCAGGCCCCGTAAGTCACGTCCCCCATCACAATTGTATCTGCCTCCGTGAACCTGGGATGTACACACACAGAGACACTAATCAGTGCAGTCACAGACCACATCCACGTCCTGTTTTTCGTTACCATTGCAATCAATACACATAGCATGCCAGGCATGGTGTGATTATGAGAGAGCTGAACAAGATCAATTCCTATCCACTTGCAGATAGAGTACACTATATAGTATCTCACAGCGTTGTCAGTCAATGACTGACTCAGGGTGACACACTGCTATTCTTCTGCTCCTCACCAACGACAGCCAAAGGCCCAAATGCAGCACAAGCTGTCTGGTGGTTAAATCTCTGCCGGACGGGGTTAATAGGTCACCAGTCAACCTGGCCACAGAAAGGAGGCTACACAAAGGGAAGAAGTAGTAGGAGATAAGGGCTAGGACTGATTCACATAAGCAGATAGAGGTTGTTGGGGCCTTCGCTAGTCTTTCTATGGCCTGGATTCATAGCACATCTGCCTGGGAACAGGAGAAACCCGCCTCAGCAACAGTTAGTGCTTGCAGCTGTAGAATTAACTATTTAGACTGGGTGCTTTTTGCGACAAGTAGGTTGTGAGAGTGTAGCACAGACCATGTGGGCCTAACGTTCCACTTTGAAGCTGTAGTACAAAAATACAATCATGGCCATCTTGAGAGGAAAACTACCAAATCACAAAGGCATCTGTGGGCCCAGCTCTGTTAGACTGAATGGCTGATCGCACTACCGAAAATCAAGATCTTTTCTTTTATTGCCCTTTATGGACAAATAAAATGCTAAGTAAACCCATAATGACTAAGTAAAATGAATAAAGGTGGAGAGTAACAGGGAGAAAGCGCAAATGAATAGAAGCGTGAGGCATTGTAGGGGGGGAACGATGGGTAGACAAGGGGGTGGTTGTAAATGGTGGTTGCTGCCAGGTATTTGTGGCTGTATACTGACAGATTTAAGGTCATAGACATAGTGGAAGAATAGAGATGAGACAGAGGACTTGGGGAGAAGAGGAAAGTGATAAACAGACATGGCTGCACACAGAATAGCATCTGTAGCAACCAACAGACTCTTAGTAATGTGTCTCCTGCTGCCCAATCTTTCAACCCACATGCACTCTCTCTGTTTATTCCTCGCTCTGCTCCTCGCAAGGGGCTTCAGACAAAGTTTCTATTTAGCCTTTCCTCCCTCATTTTGTCTGATGTAATTTCTGGTTTGCACTCTCTCTCTGGGTTTCCCATCACCGTTCCCTATGCTGTCTCTCTCTCTCTGTCTTCCTCTCCCTATCCCTTCTCCTCTAATGGCTGCTCTCAAGTGAAGGGCAGTACAGGCCAGCTGAGCACAGGAAAACATAGATAAAGCAACTCATCTGGTAAATAAATATTTGCCTTCAAAGATTTGAATCAATTTACCCTCTCTCTTGTCAAGGTGTTGATTTTGTCGGTGTGTGTCTCTTTCTACTGCATACACGTGCGTATGCAGCCAACAGCAGGAAGGTAATTATGGGTTACTAAAAATTATATAATCACACGGGTAGTTTGAGGTCTGTGGACTCACGTACTTGTTTGCTCATTCACTGCAGCCCATTGTTCTTTCATCGCAGTCCGCTGACTTTGTTTGGAGTTGCATAAACGTGCATCAACCTTTCAGCTAAAAATACACAGTGTGCCCACCACAAAAAAAGAGACCATTTCTTGCCGTCCATGCAGAACAATCTACACAAAACACAGCACTACAGAATATTACACTATCTAATCAGCCCTCTATCTGTAAGAAATACCATTATCATGTTATCTTTATTGGCAGTGCAGTTCATATCTGGTTATTTCCTGAGTGAGTGTACTGAAATTACATGGTAATAAATGCTTAGAATCTGATTAGGAGGTCCATATGATACATGTGATGATACTGGGACATAGGCAGAGTAATTGCTTGGCAACATATAGTCCCATATAGCACTGGGAGAGAGGAAACAGGGAAGACAGAATTAAGCCAAATGGGTGTTAATGGAATCCTATTTCTAACACATGCTATCTCACACAGATATGTGACTGGTGGGTACCCATGAAGCTCAAATGTCCTCCAATGTCTCCTCATTTTCATTTATCCCACTCTCTATCATCTCCCTTATCCCTCCTTCTCTCCCTTCCTGCTTGCACTCGCCTCTAGTGTCAATCCTGCTTCCGTCTGTATATCAGCACTGGTTTTGCCTCATCTCAGGGTACTCAGTTCAACCATTCCAACTAAAATGTCATTAAGATCTAATTAAGATGTCAGAGAAGCTTGTGAACTCCATAACACTCCTTGTTAATTAGCTCTTTAGCATACAGCTCAATATGTGTGAGAAACTGCCAACTGATTTGAATCTTTGTTATAAATGCCAATGTGCTGCTGTGTGCCACATACAAGTTCGGGAGCAGACTACAATATACATATGCGCACACACACGATTGTGGATGTAGAACCAGCTGATTGTATCACTGTTTATCAACAGGTTAAGTAGCTGATGTGTTTTATATAAAGAGCATCTTACTCAATTCCATTATTGTGCTAGTGTGGCAGCACAGGCATGAAAGCTTTCTGCTCCCATCCTCTGGAGATGATATACTTTTCTGAGTTTGACAGGAATTTCTTCTGATGCCGGCATAAAAGAAGAACTTGTTGGCACCAGTCCCTTATAGCTTGGAGATGTTGCAGCAGACAAAGAGAATGAAAAACTTCTCCTGTCTCTGAACCATTCCATTAGCACTCACAAAGCCATTCTGTCGCCGATGACACTTATCTGTTGATGAAAATTGCTAGACTGAATTTAACTAACAGCCTCCACCATTTGTTTGAATAACCATTGATTTAAGGGTTGCTGTGTTATGAGATGTGGGAATTTTCAGGTAATTTTCGCTCTGACACTCAGCTTTACTCCTGGGCCTATCAGCTTGAGAAAGCATTACAGGAACACAGACATGTTATTATCTACAAACTGCATGTAAAACTACAGCATGCTGTTCTTAAAATTTCAATACTGTACTATCGTTGGGCTGGCTGAACAATAAGGCTAGATGGTGCATTTTACTATATTTACTTTGTTTATGGATTTTTGGGCATGCAGATTTCCAGTTGTATATTTGAAGGAGTAGGAATGTGCATATAGTATGGTGGTGCTAACAGTAGATTTTATTTGTTCTTTACATATTCAGGAACAGTTCTTCACATTCACGTGTTTCAAGCATTCATACATGAGAGATGTGTGGTGTCCGAACAACAATGCTGCGATGATGTGTTGAGAAGAAACCCGCTTGACACTGTTCTTGATCATAAAAGTTTATTACATCAAGGAGTTCAGCATCAATTACAAGCTCTGCAGCAGCTTGGAGAGTGACCCAGCCCGATGACCACTCTGTCTCTCTGTACATCAAACATAGCTTATATAGGATATGTGTAGGTATCTGTTAGATACCATAGAAGGGTTTGAGTCTGCAAAATAAAGCCCCAACCCATATAAGGGTACAGTGCTATTCTGAGTTAACAAAACAAGGGGTCAGAGGTCAAATTCTATATAACCACTAATCACTGCTCTCCCCTTAGGAGGTCACTGATCCTCTATCCAGCTGCAACAGTGCTATTTTAAACTGTTATGCATCAAATGCACATATATTGTACACCACAGATGATAAATACAATCAGTCCTCAACAACAGTTATGTTTCAGATATTCCAGAAGTCACACAGACTGAGCTCAGTCACTATCTTTGATACTTTGATAGTAAGTAGAGATAGTAAGATAAGCAGTAGTCATATAGTACATATAGTATAGTTGTCATATTTTTGTAATTCTGATTGTGTATGTACAGCTTAAGTGTAATTGCAAGGCATGGTTCGTTTAACTTTTTTAGCTGTATAGCTTAAATTATCAACTATAATGACAAGTCAGCCATATGCCTGTAAAATAGACCAAATATCATTAAACTTTTAACTCACCATAACAAACTAGTAATTAAAAAACAACAGATTGATAAGCAGCACAATTTTGCTCAGGCTTGGGTTGTAAAATTCTTATGTATTCTTGTATGAGATATATGATATATACATATATATACATATATACATATATTATACATATATATATATATATATACACATATATATATATACACATATATATATATATATATATATATATATATATATATATATATATATGTGTGTGTATATATATATATATACACACACACATACATATATGTATATATATATATACATATATATATATATGTCTGAAATTGTCATCGTAGGTGCATGTCCACTGTGAGAGACATAATCTACAATAAAAAATCCAGAAATCACAATGTATGATTTTTTAACTATTTATTTGTATGATACAGCTGCAAATAAGTATTTGAACACCTGAGAAAATCAATGTTAATATTTGGTACAGTAGCCTTTCTTTGCAATTACAAACGTCTCTACCCTGCACCGTCGGGTAGCCCTTCTCTCAGGTCTGTTACTGCTACTCCAACACAACACTCGGCAGCTCACACACTCCATCCTCAGTCAGCATGCAGTGTTGAAACAGATTCTGCTCAGTCCTGCTCTGGAACCACACAACCGGCATCTCCTCGTCCTCTTTTCTCCCCAACCACTCTAATAATTGGTTACTCCATAACCAGAAACCTCCGTTTCTTTAACGCTACCACTCACTACTTCCCCGGTGCCACCACAGCTGACATTTTAAAAAAACTCCAGGACCTGATGCCGTCGCTCCTGTCCTCCATCACAAGAGTGATAGTCCATGTCGGAACAAATGACACAGCTCTTCGTCAGTCTGAGCTGACAAAATTAGATTTTAACCTTTTTAAAGCAGTGTGGAAAGTCCGTTTTTATCTCTGGTCCCATTCCCACAGTTGGTCGCGGTGCTGGCCACTTCAGTAGACTCCTTGGCCTCCACGACTGGCTCCAGTCCGCCTGCAGGGCTCATCGTGTGTGTTATGTGGATAATTTTAATATTTTCTGGCAAAGAATGTCTCTTTTTAAGACAGACG